GGCCAAAGGCAGGCGCTAAACCGCTGCGCCACCCAGGGTTCCCCTAATAACCATCTTTTTATAATTAAGAACATTTTTAAGGAATTAATATCTCTGGAAAATTACAAACATTTATATAATAGTTTGGCAATTTCATCATTTTAATCTCTTTTTCTTTGGTTAAATATAAATAAGTTCATTCTATCACACCATATAGAAAAAGAAGAGTAATAACAAAAGAATAGCCCTGCTAGATACTGTGTTATAATACAGAGATACAACATCTGAAATAATGTGGTACTAGCACATGACTAAACAGGTTAAAAACAAAACAGTCAAGTAAACATATCTGCATACATATGAGAATTTAGGATGTAATTAGGATGACTTCTGATTACTACATAAAAGAATGATTATTCAATATTGGTTGTGACAGTCAGGTAGCCATTTTTAAAATAAAAAACTCAAATCAAATAAATTCCAGATGGAGTGAAAATTTTACCAGGAATGATAAAATAAGTACTAAAAGAAAACATAGAAGAAAAATGTTTAATTTATGAATGAACAGTAAAAGCCTAAGTATGTTCTAACACCAGAAATGATAAGACTTAAAATTCAACTGTAAGATTTAAAAACATTTCTACACAGAATACACACACACACACAAAAATCAAAAAGGCAACAGATGAAGGAAAAATAAATCACATCTGGGTTTGTTTTTTTAAATCTACATTTATTTGATAATCTTCCTAGAATACAGTTTGTGAATGGGAGAAGAACCCAATTACATACTCACAGAACATCTTTGCATTATTACCCACACACACCTCAATCCCACGTAGAGAGCACTGTGTGTGATAAAGGCCTGATTGCCCTGTGTAGGCAGATGGGTAAGTAGCACAGGAGAATAACACTAAAACTATTACACTCAGAGCTGATGTAAGAGTTGCTGTCTCTTCTGCCCTTCTTCAATGCAGGGTGGGGGAAGGAGACAGAGAGCACAAACTTGGTTCTGCAATGTACACCTATCTTTCTGAGGAAAGAAGGGCAATGCCAACAAATGACTCTGAGGAAAAATAAGACTTTCTCTCAAGCACTCTCTATCTTAAACTTGCTATCCTTTCATCTTGGTGCCAAAGGTCCTTGGTTAAAGACCCTCACTCTGTAGAAATGTGAAAAATATTCATGAAGCATTGCTTCTTCATGATATAATAAAAGTGGCTAATTGCCTTAAAAAAAACTAAGGGACACTTATAATAAGAAAACCCAAAGAACAAAGGAGCTAATGGTCAATTCAAAGAAAAACAAATGTTAATCTATGAAGAAAAATTCAACCCCACTCATGATAAGGAAAATAAAAATAATATACTATTTTTCACTATCAGAAAAAGACCAAAAGTCAAAAATCCTTTAAATCAAGGAGTAAAAGACACTGATAATACTTAACTAAATTATTAAAATTCTTATTTCCCAGAAATTCTACTTTCACATGTGCAGAATGATACAATGGATCATTCATAATTGCCAATATTTGTGAAAGCAAAATACTAGGAAAACTACCAACAGGAAACTGGGGAAATTACATGACTACATCTATATCTGAATATTGAAAATCATAAAAATGAAGAATATAATGTTTTAAGTTAGATATGGAACATTACCAAAGGCACACTTTTTTAAGTAAAACAAAGGCTGCCTCCAGAGGAAAATCAAATGGTTGTGATAAAAACATAGTATACAGTGTTACTTTTCTTATGCATATACTCTTTTTGAACCATTTGGGGTTTTTTTAACCAAATACTGCCAATTCTTAGTCTTATCATTTGATAAGAAACTAAATCATTCAAACAAAATTATATATAATTTAGTTAATTAAAACAGCATTTTAACAAAATTATGGTTTTTGGTAGAGTATTTCTCCAACTTTCTACTCACCTTTCATAAGCAAAAAGAAGGAAACAGGTCATATATATATATATATATACACACACACACACACACACACAGATACATGTGTATGTGAGTGGACACGTACGTGAGCTTCTACCGCAGAGAATGAAGTGACCATTTTCGAGCAAAAGGAGTTATGTGGAAAGACACACAGAGGTCAAACTGAATGGCATACTCGGGAAAGAAAGGAGTGTCTCCTAGCAAGTACATTGAGAATGGCACTGGCAGGAAAGACGACTCTGAGGGAAGATGAAGGATATACTGAAAAGGGACTTTTAAGGCAGAAACACTTGAATTTTACCATTAAGAAACAGAAGACTAACAACTGTGAACACAATCAAACAAACGTATATAAGGATAGCATACATAATTCTGATACAGAAATTTTGACCAGACTGAGAACAAAACCAATCAGTTCAACCAAGTATTTATGTTTTTAAATCTATAAGTTTGGTCACTGACACCAAACCTATAAGACTTTCTCAATGTTACATCTCTTCTTTTTTTCCTTAAAGATTTTTATTTATTTATTCATGAGAGACAAGAGAGAGAAGCAGAGACAGAGGCAAAGGGAGAAGCAGGCTCCCTTTAGGGAGCCTGATATGGGACTTGATCCCAGGATCCCGGGATCACACTATGAGCCAAAGGCAGATGCTCAACCACTGAGCCACCCAGGCATCTCTCAGTATTACATCTCTTTAAGGAGAAACTATTTATTTTAAATTTTGCCCTTAAAAAAAAAAATCAAAGTAAAGAGGCTACTCACACTTCTGTTACCAGAAAAAAAGCATCTAACTTCTGAAGCTGGAAAAAGTAACAGTTCAATCAAGATATTTCAAGGAAAAAAAAAAAAACCCACATAAAATTATAGCTCTCCAGACTCAAAATGAAACACTAATTAGAGATAACATTTATCTTAGAAGATGAAGGATTTGGCAAATGTGCCTTAAGTATTATAATTTTAGGTTAGTAAAGAAATTTGAAAAAGAAAATCTATTAAAAGAACATCTGAATTGTTTAAATATCAGAAGGAAATCTCCAAAATATGTAAGATTGACTTTCTGAATACAATAAAATACAAAGTTCTTTATTCATGCTCCCATTGAGTCCCAGCCTCTAACACCAAATATCCCTCCATCACACAGATGCTTTTGAAAAATCAAAATTAATTTATCTGGTAACCGATAGGATTATGGTCACTGGAAGTAAATCCACAGTAAAGAAATATTAAAACATTAATTGAGAGACACATATGAATCCAAGTGTGATAATAAATAGCATAAAATTAGGTACCATCAGGGAATCCCTGGGTGGCTCAGAGGTTTAGCGCCTGCCTTCAGCCAAGGCGTGATCCTGGAGTTCCAGGATCGAGTCCCACATCAGGCTCCCTGCATGGAGCCTGCTTCTCCCTCTGCCTGTGTCTCTGCCTCTCTCTCTCTCTCTCTCTCTCTCTCTCTCTCTCTCTCTCTTTCTCTGACTCTCATGAATAAATAAATATTTTTTTAAAATTAGGCACTATCAGATGTAGTAAGATGAAACTCTTCATGAAATTTTAAGTTAATTTATAATCTTTTTTTGAGAGAACAGAATATAACTTGCTGACAAGCCATCCAAGATACAAAATGTAAACCTAAGTACGTAATGATTTTGAGCAACTGCATAGCATTATTTGATATAAATACCAACTTCCAGAGGTCTAATACCAAAACCAACAATGGGACAAACTCAGAAAAACTTACGGGTTGAGATAAATGAGCCAGAAACAAATAAAACACACACACACACACAAGAACATAGCAATAAAGTGAACTAAAGATAGCACTGGTTATTAATTCTGTAAATTCTGTTAAGTACCCTGACTAAACAATCTAATAGCTCTTTTGTCTGGAATAAACTACAAATTTAAAGTAGTCACTTTAAATTGCCTTCAGAATTGTATTACAAACTAGTATTCCCATCATGGCATAGTAAAGTCTTTCCATTTTAATAAAAGAACATGATTTCCTAGCTAATTATCTAATTAGATATACTTTGTTATAAAGGCATATTTTTAACCAAAATCAAATTAATCTCTAAAAGGCAAAATTCTGTCACTCCTGAAGATAGTCACACCAATAAATTACAGGCTAAAAAAGTGATTTCAAACACAAGTATCATAAGTTTTGAACAACACCTTCTTTGAATAAAGAAGCAAGGTATGGAAAATTACATATTACATGATCTCACTGATTTCAAGTTTAAAAAAGAGGTACAATTAATTATATATTGCTTAGGTATGCATAATTAAAAGGAAAAATTATACAGAAATGAAATAAAGTGTTTAGAATTCAGAACGGTAAACAGCTATAGAAGAGGGATGAGAAATACCTAGAAGGAGAGGAAGCTAGTGAGAGGTGGGCTGGTAAGAAGTGCTGGCATTTTGTTACCTATGTAGTCCCACTTGATGCTTACATGGATTTTTGCTATAATAATTTTTCAACTATGCATTTTATGTACTCTTCTGTATGTATATTTTAGTTTACAACTTAAAAAAGAAAAAGGGAAGAAGGAAAGCCACTAGTCCTCCTAAGACCTTGATAGGAACAGAGGAAGTATATCCCTAACGTCAACAGTTTAGCACTGATTAGGCAGTGACTTCTAAATACCGTCACAGCAGCAATGGTGGCAGTTCCTCTAGAAGCCAGGCTGAATGGTACAGTTCTGAGTGTCATTCTTGAAAGTTACTCTAGGTACTCCTCCTTCCTCCATCCCTTCCAAAGATCTGTAAGCACTTATGCCCTTTCTGTTTATCATATCTAACAGCAGTTCTCTTAACAGCACATGAACCCTAATTAATATAAGTCATCAAGAGAAGTTCAAAAAAAAAAAAAAAAAAGCTGGATTTCCAATATGTAGCATTAACAGTAATGAAGAAGAGCTAGACACTGACCATTAAATTAACCTGATACTAATCTGTCATTCCCAACAGATGTCTTAGCACAAGCATAAAAATGAAATCTTTAATATTTTATGAAGTTGACTTTTAACTTTTATAAAAACAAAAAGCAGTGGGAAAGGAAGGGCAGAGTTACCTGGAGTCTCGTATTCATTTCCAAGAAATAAAAATTCTTCTTAGAATCCACAAGGAATTCTACAGTTCCAGCAGAGGAATACTTTACTGCTTTGGCAAGAGCTACAGCTTGTTCTCCCATTGCTCTTCGGGTCTTAGAATCCAGAAAAATGCTACAAATACAGAAAGAGTAATCAACATTTTGAACAAAAGTAATATTCTGCATACACCATATAAAATTTTTCTTAAACTTTACTCAGATATGATCATGTATATCAATTTAAGATTTTATATTATATGCTTTATAGGTTTAGAAAAATATGCTTTTTGCATTAGTAAGCCTAACATGTTTAAGTCAGCTTCAGATTTTTATAAAACTGACATCTGAACTTCCCACATTACAGTGCAACTTCCATCAATTTTAGCACTAGTAGTTATTTACAACCAGTAAAACTTAATATATTCAGAACTTTCCTAAGCTAAAACTGGGAGATGTGCCTTACAGAGAACACATGTGTGCTGGATGTGCTTCCTTCAGGCAAGTGTTACAGCACTGCTGGCCAGGACTGTGAGTTCAATATTAATGAATCAACAACGTGTATTAAATAAGGTAGCCTTCAACAGAAACAGACATAAAACAAGGTTATGTCAGGATATTTTCATCAAGGTTACAGATTGATTAAAATGTCCTAATTGGAAGTTCACAGAACCTAACTCTGAACTTCCCCTAGGGACAATGCTTCAATAATTGCTAATTCAGTGTTCATAGTGACTCTGTAAAACCTAACTACCACAAATAACAAGAATTGACTACACATGTAATAAATCCTCAAAATTTTTATTTCACAATACCAAAACTACCCTTCAGCAGGCAAATAAAGCTGAAATGTTTTCAATAAGCCCTGAAAAAAAGAATATTATAAAATCATTTGTGTATTTTCACATATTTTGCTTCATGCAAGAAATAGAACATTGATTACTTTTCTATCTGTGGATTAAAATTTGTGGATCAAGATTTAGGTGGTTTTTATAACATTTTATTATGGAAGAAGATATTGAACTTCTATGCACCTGCTCCCCATATGGAACAATCATTATGTATCCTGTCTTGTTTAACGTCTATAACGCACATCTACTTTCCTACCAGGCCTACCATTTTGTACAAATTTTATTTTAGATCAAACCCCAAATTAGGTATCATTTCATCTATAGAGACTTCCGTATCTGTTTCTATAAAAGTTGTAACATAATCACACTTAAGACATTAACAAGAATTTCTTAATAGCATTTAATATCCAGTTAGTATTCAAATTTCCCTGATTAATCCTATTTTTTTCAGGTAATATCTTTGAATCAGAATTCAAATAAGGCCCAGCCACTCTATTTACATTTTTACTCCATTTTTACATCTTTGCAGTTCTTTTAACTTGCAATGCTCTCTTCCCGTTTTCCTAAGGCAAGCAAGAATCTGCTCATTTTCCCATCTCATTTCTCAAAATCTGAGTTCAAGTGGATGCAGCCCCACAGTGCATTTTAACATCTGCATTATATTTATATTTCTTATAAACTGCTGGTTAGATCTAGAACCTTGAACAGATTTCAGATTGGACTGGAAGAGTAGGAGGCAAGAAAACTTCAAAGACTGGAAGTGTACCTCCTTATGTCTTTCTTTTGGTATTTAGGATTAATCACTGAATTTAGGCACTATGAGTCTTATTTGTCTATTATGAACATTTCTGCATCAATTACATTTCAATGCTAACTCGCTGACAAAATTAATACAAAAAAGAAAGAACACCCAAATTAACATCTTAACATTTGGAGAATCTCAAAGACAGCAGAATAAAACTATTTTTGTCCTACCTGGTCTTGTCCTTTCTTTTGTCATAAACTCTGCTAGTAACACTCAGAGCCATAAGCAACCTTACCACTGCACTCAAAACACAGCAGTAAATTCATACTCTAGAAACTGAAAACTATGTATTTCTCTTATTTAATATTTCACAAATAATAACAGACAAACACCTATCAAGTCACTATTAATGATCAGTTCTCTTTTTGGGGTTTCTTTTTGGTTGGTGGCATTTCTATTGCTTTAAATTTTCCTTTTTCCCTCAATTAACAGATGAGTTCACATGAAAAACTCACATTCCTAGAAAAAGCGAGATGAAACAAAAATAATGATTCAAGGTTCCTAGTCTGTGAAAGATTTTTATCCCAGGTAAAACTTGAGTGGGTTTTTTTTTTTTTTTAAAAAAAGAAAGGTTCATTATATTGGAAGCAATAAGAAGAGAACAACACAAAATTATAAAGACTATTATCATTCTACCAGCAACCCTGTACCCTTCTTCCACACAACTAGAATCTTAGCAGAGCAATATGGTTACTTAATTTTAAAAAGGCAGTTTCCAACTTCCCTAGCAAAGTCCCTAACTTCAGATCACCACCAAGCAATCAGGACTAGTAGGTTCTGGGGCCTTTCCATAAAGATACAGGTAGATCATTTCTTTTGCCTTTTGTTCTTCCTTCCCTCTTACATCCCAGTCCTGGCCAATGAGATAAGGCCATAACCCCGTGTAGGCGGCAATGGGCAGTTCTTCACAGCAGGGTGCCTGGTTTTTAAGCTGTGTCCCAACAAGCAGGAAATGGAATCTGGCAGTTTCCTAAGGCCTCCATCACTTCTATGCAGTCTATTCTCAAGCAGTCACAGAGCACAGAATCAAGGAGATGGTCAAAGATCCCTACCTCCTCTGGTCAACAAGAGAAGTGGCAAAAAACTTGGGAACGATGTCTTAAAATCATCACACCATATCATATGCTTAAAACCTAATAATAATTAAAGTAGGACTTGCTTTTTCCCATTACCCTGTAATTAAAAATTCACTCATATTCACCCGTATTCTTTATACAAACCATACACACATATCAAGGCACACTGGCTAGGACAAAGTTACAACTGGTTATATTCCTTATTGCTTGGCTATTAAAAATGACAACATACACTCAACTGAGGGATTTTTAAGGACTCAGAGACAATTAGAATATATACAAATACTAACCTAGCAAATTAGAAATGAGGTTCTATGAAATTGCTAAACTAAACATATCTAAAGGTGACTTGTATCTAAAGCACCACTTTTCGTGCTCAAAATAGTTCTGATAATCAAGGGATTTCTAAAAACCATGTTCCAGAAGCCTTTTGATGGTAGGATAAATTCAAAAACTTCAGGATCAACTTTATGAAACCTTCACCAACAGAAGATCCTAGAAGGCCTGTATCCCCAAGCATTCCACATGACCAGAAACACCAACAGGGTCTCTATTACCTAGAAGCCAAGTCCTACTTGGCAATCCAGCCAACTCTCTCCTCTAACAAAACCCCACCTATATTTTCCCAAGTATTCTCTCACGTGTCACACACTGACATATTGAGGAAGACTGAGTGACAAATTCTTAATTATAAAAATATACACTAACACATTCTACCATGACAATTCCAACAAGTTGCTACTGAAGCAATTTTAGCCAATAAAATGGGAAAGAAATATACTAAATAAACAAAAGTCTATTATGAATGTTTATTGAGAAAAACTCTTACCTTGGTGCTTCCTCCACCACTTTCTGATTTCTTCGCTGAATTGAGCACTCTCTTTCATTGAGCCACAAAGCATTCCCATGCTTGTCACCTAAAACCTGATAGAGCAACACCACTTGAAAACTTATATAGTCATACCTATAGAGTATGTGCCCCATTAACATTGTCATCATGCAACACTCCTTGGTTTTTACCACTCATAGCTCATAAACATATCTACCTCTACATTATGTCCCTCTTTTGGTTGATGTTACTAGAGGAAAACTTTATTTACAACCCTGAAACTCACTAAAATGTTTTTTTAAACCTGAGAAAAAAATTCTCATGTTATATTTCCAATGCACTGGATAAGATATCACATCAATTGTACAAATTTTGTGAAGGACACTGAGTATCAATAAAGGAAATACACATTCTAGATATCAGTGGTGCTTTAGAAAAACCACTGTTATTACAAACGTTTGTTTTTAACATAATTAAATGTTGATCAAGAAATGCTATTTTATTTACATTTAGTCTGTTACTTATATATGGATGTCTTTAACTGAGCTTTATTTTTGTTATAGAAACTGATGAAAGGCCTGGGGTTAAAATGTAACACATTATGATTTTTCTCATTTGTAATACTGAAAAATAAGCTAGAGTTGCCACATAAAATAACAGGACACCGATATGAATTTGAATTTCAAAGATTTATTTATTTTTAGAAAGAGAGAGTGCACTCATGGGTGGAGGAGCAGGGCAGGAGGAGAGAATCTCCAGTAGATTCCCCACTGAACACACAGACTTCAGGGCTCTATCTCAAGACCCTGAAATCGTGACCTTATTTGAAACCAAAAGTGGGGCGCTTAACCAACAGAGCCACCCTGGCACCCCTGAATTAACCAACAGAGCCACCCTGGCACCCCTGAATTTGAATCTCAAATAAACAACAAAAAAATCTTAATAATAATAGGTCCCAAATTTCACTTATAAAAATATACTACCTGAAATTCAAATTTAACATGTGTCTTAACAGCTAAATCTGGTAACCCTAAGACATGCTATTGGTTAGCATTTTTGCATAGAATGTTTGTTTTTAGGAACAGATTAATCTATTTTCATGATTAAGAGTAAATACGTATTCCTGAATGCATATATTATTAAGTTCACAGAAGTAAAAGCTATTCTAGAAGCCAAAAGCGTAGACATTCATTTTAACTCTGTACTATGCAATTTCTCCAGGGCAAGTCACTTTTCTCCTTATATATTATAAATATCAAATAGTATCATCTCAATGTTTTATATGGCTGCTGAAAATATAAAATCAATAAAGATCATGGTTATAGCAATAGAATAAACTATAAAATGAGTAGTTAACATATAAATGCAAACTTAATTTTTAGTAATAAAACCTATCTAAACCATAGGAACAATTACAAGCAAAGGAAAATACTGCAATAGTGAAATGACAATAGTTGGAATTTAGTTTTTTAGTCTCAGAGGTGGCTGCATGAAGTAAAGCCTAAGAAAAATTTAACACTAAAAAATATTTTAACACTAAATTTATTCTAATTCTTTTCATTCTAGTTGACAAAGAAGTAAAATATTTTGTGTCCAAGAAATAAAGCCACAATAACCAAGACTTCTCAGAAATATTTCTAACTGTAAAATATTATATTCATATATACAATCACATTTGTTTTTCCCTAAAGCCTGCATAGTTCTTTTTTAAAAAGTCTTGAGGGAGAAGGGGGCTCAGTCAATTAGGCAAATAACTTGATTTTGGCTTGGGTCACGATCTTGGGGTTCTAAGACTGAGCTCCCAACAGCTGTGGAGCCTACTTAAGATTCTCCCTCTCCAGGTACCAGGTTGAGCATCTGCCTTCGGCTAGGTCATGATCCTGGGGTCCAGGAAATCAAGTCCTGAATCGGGCTCACTGAGAGGAGCCTGCTTCTCCCTCTGCCTATGTCTCTGCCTCTCTCTGTGTCTCTCATGAATAAATAAATAAAATCTTAATAACAACAACAAAAAGATTCTCCCTCTCCCTCTACCCCCCCCCCTTTGACAGCTAGCTTTCTCTCTCTTTAAAAAAAAAAAGTTTTGGGCAGCCTGGGTGGCTCAGCGGTTTAGTGCCACTTTCAACCCAAGGCGTGATCCTAGAGACCCGGGATCAAGTCCCACGTCAGGCTCCCTGCATGAAGCCTGCTTCTCCCTCTGCCTGTGTCTCTGCCTGTCTTTCTCTCTGTGTATCTCATGAATAAATAAATAAATCTATTTATTTATTTATTTATTTATTTATTTATTTATTTATTTATTTATTTTTATTTATTTATGATAGTCACACAGAGAGAGAGAAAGAGAGGGGGGGGGGCAGAGACACAGGCAGAGGGAGAAGCAGACTCCATGCACCGGGAGCCCGACGTGGGATTCGATCCCGGGTCTCCAGGATCGCGCCCTGGGCCAAAGGCAGGCACCAAACTGCTGCGCCACCCAGGGATCCCTGAATACATAAATAAATCTTTAAAAAAAAAAAAGTTTTGTTATTTCCTAAGCATGCAACAAAAATAATCTTTTTTTAAAGATTTACTTTACAAAAAGAAAAAGAGCAAGTGGGGGGAAAGCCAGAATGAGACGGAGATAGAGGATCCTCAGGTCCACTCCTTGCTGAGCACAGAGCATGACCTGGGGCTCAATCCCAGGACCCTATGAGCATGAAATCAAGAGTCAGCTGCTTGGGGTCATCTGAGTGGCTCAGTTAAGCATCTGACTTTGGCTAAGGTCATGATCTCAGAGTCCAGAGATAAGAGTAGCTCCCAGTCGAGCTCCCCACTCAGCAGAGAATCTGCTTGTCCCTCTCCCTTCACCCCTCTCCCAGCTCATGCTTGCTCACTCTCAAATTTTTAAAAATATTAATAAATAGCCCTTAATCAAATGACCCACTCAGGTGTTCCTCAACAAAAATAATTTGACAACGATAGTGTGACACTAATAAATGAAGAGACTAGAATACCAGACAATATAAAGAGTGCCTAGAAAGAAAGTTAATCCTAAATCCCTTAGGAGTTTTGGGATTTGGGGGGGGGGGGAGTTCTTAAGATTTCATTTTTTAAGTAATCTCTATACCCAATGTGGCACTTGAATTCACAACCCCAAAGTCAAGAGTTGTATGCAACACTGACTGAGCCAGCTAGATAACCCCATCATGAGTTTTTCTTTTTTAAAGCTTTAATATAGTCCTTTATCAATCGGCAGGTACTCAATGTGGAAAAATCTCCCAGATACACTGCTTACTGAAAAAAGCTTCATGACAACAAGAGCGTCCACATAATGCAAGCCATTTTGAAACCCTGGATCCAACCCAAAAAATGCCAGTAGTGTCCGGGGTGAGAAAAAAAGGATTTAAACCACACAGAATGCTGCCACTACCAGTACAGTTTCAGCATAAGAAAGGACACAGTATACGAAAGTCTGTCTAAAAAAATAGGTAATACACATATATAATTCACAGTCCACAGCAGGATATTCAAAAAAGAGTTTTGGAGCCTGCTCCCAGGAACAGAAACCAAGGAACTTGGAAACAAAAGTATAAGGAAATGTTAATTTTTCATCAGATATCCTTTGTTATGTACATAAATTCCTCATATAATTATAACATGCAAATTGAGGAAAATCATTTTTAAAACTTCCAAGTGTAGATGATCAGATACAGCAAACATCTGTGTTACCTATTCAAGTTACTAGGAAATACTTTTACCTATGTTTAAAATTATCACCTACATTATATGCTGTGGCTAATGAAAATAAACTAAAAGCTGATGTAAATATATAATTACTTAACACAATTTGACATACATTTATTGAGTATTAGTAATGTGAAAGACATCCGCCTGGTTGCTGGAACCAACAAATGAGTAAGACCAACAAATGAATAAGACCTTAGTAGGTCTTATTGGTTAGTAGGTACTTCTTGATCTATTTGAAAAGTTAAACAACTCAAGATAAAAATCAATGATCTTCTAATAGCTGTGCTATGTATATGTTATACATGACAGGGAATACAGGAAAAGGAAAATTAATTTTGCCTGTAAGATCTTAGAAAGGCAGCCAAAATATCTCCCATAAGCTACAGACTTAAATATCCAATCTACTCAACACTTATACTTTGATATCACAACCTTGATTTCTCCAACATCACACCCTGATCTCCTCCCCAAAACACGCACCTCTCACAGTTTTTCTCACCTCAGTAAAAGATAGTCCTAGTCTTCTAATTCCTCAGGCCCCAAACTGAAAGCCATCTTTCATGCCTTTTTTCCTATATATCATATCTGATCTCTTAGAAAATCTTATCTACCTTCACAGAATATCCAGAATTCAATCACATCTTACCATCTCTACTACCAACACTCAGGCCTAAGCTGCCATCATCTCTTGCCAAGAATTCCAGCAAAAAAAGTCTCCTATGAGATTTCTCAGCTTCAACTGATAGTCTTCAAATACTAAGTAAGAGCCAATGAATACTGTGTGCTTTTTTTTCTTTTAACCTTGTTGAATGGAGCTATTTATTGCAGTGTCATTTCCTCTTCTCATCCCTGTAAGTTTGATGAGCAGGTGTCACACTGTCTTCAAATACAAAAGTCTTTGCATCAGAAGAACTGTCTTTATAGGACCATTTACAGTAAGTCTTATCCATAGCTGGACCAAGTATGAAGATGAAATTCTAGTCTTGGAAGGAAGGTGTTTATATTCTACTTATGGAAGGACATGATCACTGGGGCTGGAAGATGGGTTGTGGTAGCTCATCTAAAGACGGCCCCCACATTCAACAATACATTAAAAAAATCATATACCTCGATCACGTGGAATTTATCTCTTGCAGGGATGCAAGGATGGTTCAATATTCACAATCAATGTGATACACCATATTAACAAAATGAAGGAGAAAAATCATATGATCAACTCACTAGATACAGAAAAAGCATCTGACAAAATTCAACATCCATTTATGATAAAAACTCTTCACAAAGTAGGTTTAGAGGGAATATACCTCAATAAACCCACAGCTAACATCATACTCAATGGTGAAAAACTAAGTGCTTTTTTCTAAAATCAGTAACAATATGAAGATGCCCACTCCTGACACTTTCTTGAACAAAGTACTGGAAGTCCTAACCACAATAGACAAGAAAAAAGGCATCCAAACTGGTAAGGAAGAAGTTAAATTGTCACTATTTGCAGATGACATAGCACTATACATAGAAAACTCTGAAGACTCCAACAAAAAAAACTATTAGAAGTAATAAATTTATTTGGCAAAGTTACTGTATACAAAATTAATATACAGAAATCAGCCATATTTTCATACAATAATGAAGTAGAAGAAAGAGAAATTAAGAAAACAATTCCATATACACTAAAAAGAATAAAACACCTAGGAACAAAACTGACCAAGGAGATAAAATATTTTCAGGAAACTATAAAACACTGATGAAAGAAACTGAAGATGACACAAACAAATATAAAGCTATTCCATGCTCATGGAATTGAAAAGAATTTTGTTAAGATATCCACAGAACTCAAAGCCATTTACAGATTTAATGCAATACCTACCAATTACCAACAGCATTCTTCACAGACCTAAAACAAATAATCCTAAAATTTGTATGGACTCACAAAAGATCGCAAATAGCCAAGGCAATTTTAAGAACAAAGCTCAAGGTATCACAATCCTAGATTTCAAGATATACTACAAAGCTACAGTCATCAAAATAGTATGGTGCTGGCGGAAAAACAGACACTTACATCAACAGAACACATAGAGTGACCGGAAATAAACCCATGATTTTATGGTGAAGCAATCTATAACAAAGAAAGCAAGAATATACAATGGGGAAAAGATGGTCTCTTCAGTTAATGGTGCTAGAAAAACTGGACAGTTACATGTGAAAGAATGACACTAGACCACTTTTTAACACCATACACAAAAAATAACTTCAAATAAATTAAAGACCTAAATGGAGAGCTAAAACCATAAAAATTCTAGAAGACAGGACAGGCAATAATTTCCCTGACATTAGCCACACCAACATTTTTCTAGATATATCCCCTAAGGCAGGGGAAACAAAAGCAAAAATAAACTGTTGGGACTATACCAAAATAAAAGACTTCTGCACAGCAAAGAAAACCATCAACAAGAAAAAAAGGCAATATGGGAAGAGATTTTGCAAATGATATATTTAATAAGGGGTTAATATCCAAAATATATAAAGGACAGGGGCACCTAGCTGGCTCAATCAGTGGAGCATATCTCATGGTCTCAAGTTCCAACCCCATGTTGGGTATGAGGCTTACTTAAAAAACTAATAAAAGAAAATACACACACACACACACACACACACACACACACACACATATACATATATATACACACATATAAAGAGCAACTATACTATTTACTAGACCTAAATATAACATTATCATATAATCCAGTAATATTTCTCTCCTCAGTATATCTGAAAGAATGTGTATGTCCATAAAAAGACATGGCAATTTATTCATAATATCAAAAAGCTGGAGGGGCACCTGGGTGGCTCAGTGACTGAGCACATGCCTTTGGCTCAGGTCATGATCCCAAAGTCCTGGAATTGAGTCCCGCATCAGGTTCCCCACAGGGAGCCTGCTTCTCCCTCTGCCTGTGTCTTCTGTCTCGTTCTCTGTGTCTCTCATGAATAAATAAATAAAATCTTTAAAAATATATATATATCAAAAAGCTAGAAACAACCTGAAGATCTACCAATAGGAAAATGGATAAATTGGAAGTTATTCAAACAATGAAGTATCAGAGCAATTTTTTAGAGTTAATAGTAACACACAGCTTCATGGAAGAATCTCAAAGACATGTTGTGTGAAAGAAGCCAGGCATAACCAAGTATATACTGTATTTCATTTATATGCAGTTTAAGAAGACAGAAACATTCTGGGGTGTGAGAAGTAAGAACAGTAGATATTTTGCAGGCCAAGTGGAGGGACTGAATGGAAAGTTGTATGAAGAAATCTGATGGCACAGAAATGTGCTATACACAGATCTGGGTGGTTGCTATACAGCTACACATGTGTACACAAGAATTTTATTGAGTTGGACACTCAAGATTTGTGGACCTTGCTGAAGAGATGTGATATCTCAGTTTAGAATATCTAAAAACAAAAAACCCAATGACAACAAAACATCCTGCTGACGTTAGAAAGAAATACACTATGTTCAATGTTTTAAGACTCCTCTGATTGGAGAGCCTAAGTGGCTCAGTCTGTTGGGCATCTGCCTTCATTCAGCTCAGGCAATGATCTCAGGGCCCCTACTCAGCAGGCAGTCTGCTTCCTCCTCTCCCTCTGCTGCTCCCCCTGCTTGTGCTCTCTTGCTGTCAAATAAATAAATCTTAAAAAAAAAAAAAAACCCTCGCTGATTATATATATTTGCACATTTCTTCCCACTCTGGAAAACTGGAGGATCTAGATGAAGATTTTCTACCCATAAGAAATATCTATGTAAAATAATTAAACTTGAAAAAACCCCACAATGACAGAATTTAGAACTTTTATTACACATAATCAGAAGAGGCGGGCAAGGGCAACAAAGAACTATTCTTTAGTTTTCTGGTTCTCTATTCACACCAAAATAAGGAAAAAAATACTTAAACTTCAGCATGATTTCAAATTTGATTTGTATTTTATCAGTTTTAATTCAATTCATAGTCATAACGTGTAAAATAGCACGAAGACATTCTTAACAGAAATGAAACTTCAGGAGATGTTGTCTTCTTCTGTGTATTATTTCAGAAAATCAACTTTTGTCTTGCTGAAATCCATACCCTCACAAATTGCTTTAGCAGTTGGATTAAAATCTTAACCTGAGTAGAAGAAATTATTTATTCATCTCTATACTAGTAGCTCCTAGAAGAATGCCTGTCTCAGTGAGCCACACAGACATTTGGTGAATTGAAATAATGAGTCCAGATTAAGCACTTAAAAAAAAAAAAAAGTAAGCCCTGTTATGGCCCAGTCTCAGAATGGGAAGGAATGGGTCTTTAGGTGCAATGTATTTAGTTTGGTTAGATAGCTTGGGACAGCTTCTTTCTACAGCAGGGTTTTTATATCATTCCCTATGTTGACCAACATGCTGGTGCTTTGATCGAAGTATACCAAATTCCAAAAGGAAGTGATCAATTTATGTACATTCTCTATTTTGAAGTTATTCAAGTGTATCAGAACAATTCACAATCATTCTAAATGTGAGAAAGGATATGTTTCCAATAGGAATAAATGGTGTTTTATTAAAGTCATAATAATTAGAAAACATCTTAAAATGTACCAACCTGGATTTCTATATGACGAGGGTTATCAATAAATTTTTCTATTAGTAGCCTATCATCACCAAAACTAGAAGCAGCTTCTTGAGACGAAAATCTAAAACCATCCCTATTTAAAAAAAAAAAAAAGGGAAAAACAATCAAACTAGCTAAACAAATACAGCCCTCAATATAAAAGAAAACAAAGCAATTAAATACTTATTTTGGTTTACTGATAAACAAAGAAAAATTCACTTAATGCACAAATAACTAAATTGACTTAGTGGACCCATAACTTTTTTTTTAATTTTTATTTATTTATGATAGTCACACAGAAAGAGAGAGAGAGAGAGAGAGGCAGAGCCACAGGCAGAGGGAGAAGCAGGCTCCATGCACCGGGAGCCCGACGTGGGATTCGATCCCGGGTCTCCAGGATCGCGCCCTGGGCCAAAGGCAGGCGCCAAACCGCTGCGCCACCCAGGGATCCTGGACCCATAACTCTTATACTTACCAGCTTTGTCACCTGGACTCAGTGATGTAACTTCCCCGATTCTGGAGGAATATATTTATAATCAAATATATTTATAATCAATTTATAATCAAATAGGAATACCACTACATAGTTCACCAACTGTTAAAAATTAGATATTTTTAATAAACCACACGAAACATATAAAATTCCATATCCTCAATACCTTAATTCCACTAATTAAAAAAATTAAAAATGCATATTCATTTGACTTAAGAGTCAGAATATGCACACAAAAATACAAAGAGCCAATCTGGCCAACGTCACAACTGGAGCAAAATACTCAAGTGAGAATGAACATACAAGAGGAGGATTCTCAAGAACATTTTATGTTCTTCGTATGTTATGAACATATAATGATATTTTAAGTATACATATTTAAATGTAACTGCCCTTCACACACCCATACAAATCATTACAACTTTATCAACTTTGGACTCTTTCTAAATTAATCATTAAAAGAGAAAACAATTTTTGAAAATAAAAATACCAATATGATTATTGCTTTACATGTTTTTAATTAAAATGTGCTCACTAAATTCATACACTATGAAATGGGTTCATTTGGTCTATTAAAAACACACATTTGTTCACCTAAAACTAATTGAGTATATTATTTTACACTCACTGATATATTGAGAATATAAAGTTTAATTCTTTTTACATGTCACTAATAGTTTCTTAATCTTCAGATTAAATATAAGTCCTTAAATACAACATTAAAATTCTTCCAATCTTTTAATTTGCAAACACTCCATCTGGCATTAGAAATGAATACATTTGCTTTTGTGCTTAAAAAACACAACATAGCAAGTAAACAATGACCAGATGATAAATTCAAAACATATTGCAACAATTCCTGTTTCTCAGAGTTCTCAAGGAAAAGGTATCAGGTTTTCTTAGTCCTCTATTACTTCTTTGATTTAGAGGAATGGAGTTTTTAGATCTCTGGAGACTGCAAACCTCAAAGAAACTAAAACACAATGAATTATTGTTTTCAGTACCATATGACCAACTTTTTATTAGATGGAGTATGAGGATTTGCAAAGAAAAAACAAAGAACTTTACAATTTATCTCTGTTCTAATGACTAAGAACTTTCATTTTGCACTTAACCCAAACATGCTAGAGGGAAAAAAAATCAAAATCACCCAAATAAATTATCACATTTGAAAGCATCACCAGAGTATTTGGGAGCTCACAGAAAACTATTTTAAAAACATTTGTTACACTCAGTTACACATTCATTCAACAAATATTTACTCATCATGAAATCATGTGTCTGCTGCATGTTTAGGTGATGGGAATACAAAAATAAAGCCACAACTGCCCTCACATCACCTAAAGTCTAGCAGGGGTATTCCAAAATGCAGATGTGGTCAATTTTCCATTGTGCCATATTTTATTGAAATGTGAATGGGGAAAAGAAAGCCAGAAGTTAATATGAAGCTATGAGTCTACTTTTAACAACCTTCACAATCCTCACCCTAATTTAATATACAATAACAACAAACACCATTTAAAAAAAAAAAAAACAACTTTCAGATGTTCTAAAGATTCTAAGATAAGCCATAGATGCTACTTCCCTGAAACACTTAGGAAAGATGTTACAAAAGGGAGACATTCCCCAGAATAAAATAGTAAGGCAATTAATGATTGCTAAGCCTTCCAAAGAAGGCTAAAACTTACGTGCATTATTTAAAAAGAAAAAAAAATCCCCCTCAAGAAGGGAAAAAAAGAGGGAGCACATGCAATGTGGCATATTAACAACTGGTGACTCTAAAAGAAAACTACTGAGCATGTTCTGGACTGTTCTCTCAATTTTTCTGTAGTTTAGATTTTTCCAAATTAACAGGGGATACAGAGCAATTATTTTAAATGAGGAGCATGTATCATTAAATCAAATAGTATCATACTTTGATCAAGTTGAGAATATTTTAGATAGCAAATTATTTGTGTATGTCTTTTTATTAGTTTTATTACCATATTTTGAATCAATATGCATTTAAAGAGTTATTTACACCCGAAAAAGATCTCCACTCTCTCTATGGTTATAGCGATTTCTGAAAATACAGAACACTACATTAAAATCCATTGTGTTAACAGCACACAGGAAATCGCAATGCCACAAAGTGAAGAGTAATCTTCACCATAAGAGAATATGTTGCTAATAAGTGCTAAGGCTTTCAAGGAAATTGCTATGTAAGTGCCATACAAAGGGGGCCACCTCATGAGAAAAAAGTTAAAGTTTCTAAAACATGTATCTCTCACAAAACCATGAGGTTGTGTTTAATATCTCTGTTACATTATTCTTTCCTCCCCAGAGGCTATAGCGGACTGTCCTTCCCAAAGATGGTAACAGGGCTATCTCCCATTCAATGTGTTTATGCTGTAGATCTCTTTTGCCTAATTTTACAGTACACAAATCTTTTTGCAAAATAAAGCTTTAAGTGCAAAAAGAGAGAGAGAGAGAGAGAGAGAGAGAGAGAGAGAAGAAAATGCATAGGACTGCACAGGAAACAAATTACATTGAAATACAGGATTCGTGGAGCAGCCCAGGTGGCTCAGTGGTTTAGCACTGCCTTCAGCCCAGGGCCTGATCCTGGAGAGCTGGGATCAAGTCCCATGTCAGGCTCCCTGCATGGAGCCTGCTTCTCCCTCTGTCTCTGCCTCTCTCTCTCTCTCTCTCTCTCTCTCTCTCATGAATAAATAAAATCTTTAAAGAAAAAAAAAAGAAATACAGAATATTTTCTAAGAACAAATTTGGGATATAACATGTGGGGTTCTTTACTCATAATAAGCTCCGACAACAAATCTAATAATCACTGCTACTTAGAGATATATTATCACACTATAGTTGTTGAAGATATGTGATTTCCAAAGTGGTACATTTCCAAAGATATGTGATTTCCAAAGATAATACCACTACTGTAGTTTGTTGCCTATTTGGAGAAAACACTAAATCCCAGTTAGAGGCTAGTGAAAGAAATAGGCCCTTTGGGGGCACCTGGGTGGCTCAGTGGTTGAGTGTCTGCCTTTGGCTCACATCATGATCCCGGGGTCCTGGGATCAAGTCCTACATTGGGCTCCCTGCATGGAGCCTGATTCTCCCTCTGCTTATGTCTCTGCCTCTCTCTGTGTGTATCTCTCATGAATAAATAAAATCTTTAAAAAAATACACTGTAAAAACAAAACGACAACTCTTTCTTATGCTTAAGAAAGTAAAAAACCTTTCTATAAGAGAATAACCATGATCAAAATATAAACAATGAAGTTTTCTGCATAATTTCCATTTTTTCCCATCTAAAAGAGTAAAAATGAGATGGTTATTATAATTATTCCATTACACTTTTGGTATCTGTTTACTTGACAGTTTAATAAAACTCTAGTAACTGCAATTTTCATCAAAAGTATATTTTGGACAGCACCTCACCTGGTCTCTTCATCATCCCAGGCGATTCGCATGCCTTTCCCACCACCACCTGCTGAGGCCTTGATCATGATAGGGTAGCCTAACAGCAGGGAAGAATTAGAAGTTCAGACTTTGATCATCTGGATGCATGAACATGACAACTGACCACATGTTCAATAACACAGAAGACAATAACTAATTTATTTAAAAGTTCCTTTCTTTAGAGTCAGGAAAATAACACCAGCGTGGTAATCTCATACATATTTTAAAAATGAGTGTATGACCATTTTAAAAGAAATAGACTATTTGTATCAATAAATATAACATTTTCTCCATTAATGAAATTAAAAACTAAGGAAACATAAATAAGTTATTTGACCATGGATTCCAAAATTGGACGTAGATATAGTATTAACTAACCAAAGATAAGAAGCAACTTTTATATAATATTAAGGAAATAAACACATATAACATTCCCCAAAAGTGTTCTTTTGCATGCATAACAAACTAAACTCCTTTTTCTAAAACTAATGATTCACAGGCATTTGAGGTATTTTCATCTGAAAAGTCACAGGGAACCCCTACAGCTTTTATCAGCAAGAACTGACACAATGATATGGGGGGGAGGAGGGAGGGAATCAAGTCACATAGTTATTGTATTATGGGAGGAAACAGAAGCTCCAGGACTCGCTATTATCCATGAAGAGGCTAACCCCACTATTTCCACTCATCCAAAAAGGGAATATGTATGATAGCAAGTAAAATTAAAACACAAAGTAAGGCCAGAACAAATAATATCTCCAGCTAAAGTTTTATAAGAGAAAATTAAATCATAAAACTGTTAGTTGATAAGTATTTAGATTATTATAAAGTAAAAATTTTGACAACTTGAGTCACCTCCACCAATTTACCAAGAAATGCTGTAAAAATCTCCTTGCTTAGAGGATTTCTGCAAACAAGGTGGATACACCCATGCCTGAGACACTTGTTTATGATCTTTTCTGAAGTGAGTGCTTTAAAGACTCTTCCAGGCCTGTGATGCTCTAACAGCACTACATTCTAACCATAGGACCTTAGAGGAAAAGGAAGAGAGGGCCAAATGTCATAGATCTTTAACCTCTAAACCACAAAATATCACTCTTAACTCCAACTTAGTTAAAATACCATTTGCTTTCTGTTTGCTAAGTAATTCAATTTTTAAAGTTCTGATGTTGATTATATTTATGTGGGACAGCGTTTTAAAAGCAATGCTAAGTGTAGTGAGAAGAAAGATTAACATACTTTTTCTCACTGGGAACCTTAGAATCTTGGAAGAAAAAGGGAAAAGCACCCAAATAATTCTATCACTGGAAACTGCAAGGAGAAAAGTATCATAGGAAGGTAACAGAAAAGGGATTAAGGAAAGCATATTACAGCAAGAACCATCTACATGAGGCTATGAAGGATGAGAAGGATTTCAACATTTTAGGCAGGAATAGCATGGATTAGTTTAAAAAAATGACTGAAATAATCCAGCTGGAGTGTATCTGTGAGATGATAGAAGAAAAACAGAAATGAAAATATAAATTAGGAAGAATGTACGCTTCTCACTTTTGTATGCCAAAGATCCTACATGAGAGTGAAGAGTGTTTGTCTCCTTCAATGCTATAGCCTCACAATAATTGTCACATAAAGGAATCAGATTGTAGCCTGTTTGGGAGCAGTGAAGAAATAATATCTAAAAATTAGAAAACATGTCATTAAACATGGCATGCCTAAGAAAACATTTTTACAAAAATTTAAACAAATGGATCCATGGGGGGTGGGGGGGGTTCCTATCACCTTACCACCCAAAACTATTTATCCATATAAACAGGAAACAGGAAACCACAGGAGGTAAGATACCTACATCCCTTATCGTGGTTTTCAGTTCCCTTTGAGGATTAGAAAATTTGCAGTTATTCTGATTCCAGTATTATCTCATCTTAGTTATTTACTATAGACCCTAGACTACACAGTGATTTGTGAGGTTCAAAATAAGATTGGGAAATTGTCCTTGATCACAAGAAACTAGATGGAGAGACAAAACACAAAAAGTAATTTGTCAATGAGAGATTTTATGTTTAGCAAAGGTGGGATATTGTTAGGCAACAGGGCAGTATGTACTAAAGCAATTATAAAATGTCTCCCCAAAAAGAGGTAATGTAGCATTAGATCTGTCAATACATATAACCCAAAAAGACAAGATTCCTTGACAAAACAAACCCAATATAACACAATTGGGAGAGAGGAAGAAACGGCCATAAGCTAGTGACATTATAGTCACAAACTCAATCTAATTTCTGAACTATAATTGAAAATAATATAAAGCTAAGGTTTTCTACTCAACTTGCTATGCCAAGTTAGTCATTAAATCTCAGATAGAACATATCTTTAAGTTGTCACCATGCCACGTAGAAACTAGACCTAGCCATTTGAAGAGGGGAAGAATATTCCACAAAGATGATGTTAAATAATATCAAAAAGCCCAGTCCTTCACCCCTACTTTCTTATTGTGTCTCCGCAACTCTGATTAGGATAAATCTTGGGGTGCCAGGAACTGGAAGAAAAAGGTTAAGAAGAGCCAAAAGTTGACATTCCTGGAAAAATCCAAAATAATCAATTTGATGACTATCACCACTCCTTTACTTTACCTAGTCTAGACACAAAATTTCCATTAATGTTCTGTCCCAATTTATTATCCATTGGAGTACTTACTCCTGGGTTCAGCTTTTGTCTATGATGCAGTCCTTTAATTTTCTATTCTTCAGTTGCCATAGGTTTGAAACAGGCGAATCTTCTTAAAACAAACAAAACAAAACTCTCCAAGTTTTTTAAAAGGAGAAAATCTCTTGGCATGAAAAGATTGCTTTAAAAAAAGATACCTCAGGCCCTAGTGGTATTGGCGAGTTCTTCATGTTTCTTATCCTCTCACTGGTTGCCTACTCCCACTACCTGATCTCATAACCCAGACCAGAGATTCATGTGATGCTCCTACTAACACTCCAACTCCAACAGGCATGGACTCTCCGTTTTCTATTTACCTTCCAACTAATGCTTCCAAAAAGAAACTAACTAAATACTACATGAGAAAAAAATTAGATATTTAGGAAAATACAGAAACCCAGGTTACCAAAGCATCCACCATTCCTACGTTTCTGTCCTCAAACCTCAAGGACAGGTCTGGTCTCCTGTCCCCCCAGCAAACAGCAGGTCTTACTTTTCACCATAAAGCAGCAATCATCTTTCCTTCTAACTCTCCATCACATTTTTGTTCATCAACTCAAACATATACACTCAGTATAACACTATGTGCTAATAAGCACTGATCTGGCTCTGGTGGATACAAAGATAAACAATTCAGAAAGTTCTTTGCTCTCAAGGCACCTACCATCATCTAGTGGAAAAAGATGTGTGAGGACACAGGCACCTAAATCTGCAAATACATCCAGAACACATACATGTATTAATACACACACAACACGTGAAATGCTGAGGAGTTCCAAATGGAGACAACAGAAGGACGTGATTGAAGGTGTTTAGGGTTACTTTTCCTTGAAGGCTTCTCTGAGAAAATGGATACTGAAGGTGAGGCCTGCATGAGCTGGAGCCAGCCCCCTGAATAACAGTAAGGGAAGAACATTACTGACAGACGGAATAAGTTGGGAAGTTATACGGTCAGGTTTATGACAATCTCTTTGGCTACTCTGCAAGGTACGAATTGTAGAAGGGCAAAGGTGGACACAGGGAGACTGAGTAGGAAGCTTCTGCAGTGTTCCAAGGGAGAGCTGCTGTGACCAGGACTCAGGCTGACAGTTGGCTTTAGAGACAGAGTCAGAAAGAATTGCTGGCAATTTGGATACAGATGATAAGAACATGAAAAAGAGCCTAGGAGATTCAGCACTTTCTCATTTTGTTATGGATGGCAAGTCTAAAGGAACTATTTCTTTTTACCAACTGACAGCATAATGTTGTCCCATACAAGACATAATATATAAGCTTTCTGCTTCAGGCAAAACCTGTCCCCATACATGATAACGTAACCTGAGAACATAAACTGATAAAATAAATGACACCTTAATGATGCAATTGTCATAAAATATATAATTTTATATAGTTTTTCATCTATGGTGTCTTAAATTATGATTTCATTAATGACAGAGACAAAAAGTTTTTTGTTTTTGTTTTTTTTAATGAAAGTGAATTATTTCTTGAGCAATGTCCTACTCCTAATTTGGTGTACAAACCAGAAATCTCTCCAGAGTCAGAGTATGGTTTTTGTTGTTGGTGGTGGTGGTGGTAGTCTTTTATTTTTTTTAAGACGTATTTATTTTAGAGAAAGAGAGAGAGGAATAGTTAGGTGGGGAGGGGCAGAGGGAGAGACAGAATCTCTAGCAGACTCCCTGCTTAGTGAGGAGTCTGACCCAGGGCTCGATCCCAGGACCCGGAGATCATGACCTGAGCCGAAATCAAGAGTCAGATGCCCACTGGACTGAACCACCTAGGCACCCCTTATCTTCTTCTAAAAACAGTAGGAAAACACTTATAATTAATTGCAAGGCTTTTATTTCCTAAAAAGGTTCCAAGTTAAAAGAAATGAAAGCTATTTTAAAGAGCAAGATAGGGGATCCCTGGGTGGCACAGCGGTTTGGCCCTGCCTTTGGCCCAGGGCGCGATCCTGGAGACCCGGGATCGAATCCCATATCGGGCTCCCGGTGCATGGAGCCTGCTTCTCCCTCTGCCTATGTCTCTTCCTCTCTCTCTCTCTCTGTGACTATCATAAATAAATAAATTTAAAAAAATTTAAAAAAAAATAAAATAAAGAGCAAGATAATCTTCCAGATGGATAGAACAGGATCTGATAATGGGACCTCAAAAGAAAGAACAGAAGAACCTGGGTAGGGGAGGGAGTTCCAAGACAGCCAGAAAGGAAATCTCCAGACAGAAGTTTAACATTACAATTACAGAGAAATCAAGTATTATGCATTGCAATTGGTGGAATCTTTTCTTCTCCTTTAATGTAAAATAGTTCAGTTACCATTCTGGTTTGGAGTTTGTGTTTATGTGGGGGAGAAGGGGATC